GGCCCAGGAGCAACGAGAGAGGAAGGAGGTACTTGGGAGCTTGAAGCCTCAGGACAATAAAGGGAGCCCAGGGTCGGGGTCAGATGGAGTGGGGAGGAAGCTGTGTATGGAAAGGTAAATGCCTGGGATCCGTACATCCTCAGGGAGAGAGAACGCGGGGGCAGATAAAGCCTTTTGCAGAGAAGTGAATGGCTAGGGGTAAAAACAGAAAAATGGACTAAGCAAAGAGGTCCAAAAAGCTCCAGGTAGACTTGATGTGAAAAATGGGCGCCCAGAGGCAGATGCAGCCTGAGGGGGAACTCGGGCAGGTGAAGGCTTTTTAGAAAGGGAGCTGCCCAGTTCTATATGGCCTGTGGGGAGGAAAGAGAGTGCCTGACCATACTTCTGGGCAGATAAAGTCGCAGAGAGCAAAGAGCTAAGCTCTCAGATCAGGAAGAGGGACTTCCAGGGGGACCAGGGTCAGATCAAACTGTGGGGAAGAAGGTGAAGTCATAGGCAGACGCAGCCTTTGGGAGATGGTGAGGATAAGATGAACAAATGCAAACTCAGAAGAGAAATGGAGTAAATGCACTGAAGGGTGAGAATGGGGGCATCCGAAGTATGGTGCTGCCATCGGGAGTGAAGAGGGTGTGCCTGAGGGGTGGGGATACCTTTGGAGATGGGACTGGTCTGAAGCTCTGGAAGGTTGAGGTCACTGAGCTGTAAACAGTTGCTGTCCCACTCCAGGAGCTGTCCAACGTCAGTCACCTGTGGTCACACAGCCTGGCTATGGGGAGGAGCCGGGAGGGCATCTCCTTCATTAACAGTAATCATGCTGCCTGGAGGGAGATACAGTCAAAGAGTTTAAACTGATAACTGAAAAGTAGGAGATTTGAGTCGATCCAGAAGTTCCTCAGAACCTGAAGTTCCTCAGAAGGAAAGCCTGGTGGCCTACTTCTGAAAGAACAACTGTTGCGGAATTCACCGGCTCATTGGCCTTGAGATCAGGTAAACTGGACGGTGCCAGTTGTCATTACTGAACAGTTAAATCAAAGATTCTTTTTTTAAAAGTTTATTTTATTATTTTGTGTGTGTGTGTGTGT